GTGTATATCTACGCGTGGGAAAAAGGAGAGGGGACGGAGAACGGGACGAGATGGGAACACGAGACCAGCACCACTTGGTCCCCGCCTGCCATCCGGCCCCATTAGTGCTTCCTGTCCTTCAGTCACACAGGCAAGAAGCAAGAAACAGCCTCCGTGTGTTTGGTCACCATGGCGTCAGAGGATGTCAACACGGCCGAATGCGGCGAGACAGATGCTGCCTATCAGCACTGCGGCCGGATCAGGTGGCAGGACCGCGGGCCCCCGGCGGTGTGCGTCACCCGGCGGGACTCCCGTTGTAACACAATGCTCACAAACGAAACCTCCATCTCACCTGTAGGGCATGCCGGTGTTGTGCGCGACCGTGTCCTCTTTGCCCATTCCGAACATTTTCAGGTACCAGCTGGTCTCGATTTCTCTGATCAGCGCCGCCTTGTGCCTGTGCGGCGCCCCCGGCCTCCCGGTCGCCGAGCCGCGCTTGGCCTCCTGGCCGCGGTGGGCCTTCGCCCCGCCGAGCGAGGCCACCGAGTGTTTGCGGTGAAGGTGGTGCGGCGGGTGCCCGCCGCCGACGCCCCCTCCGCTGCTGCGGGCGGCTAGCATGGCCCTCCCCTCGAGGGCAGAGGTCAGAGGGCGAGGTGTTGAGGGGAGTGTTTCCGAGTCCTTCTTTTTGAGGGGCCGCTGCAGGTTTGTTCCACTGCCACAACGCTTCTCTGCACTTCTCAAACTCGCATTGCTGTTATTTACATGTTATTTTGTTTGTCCCGAGTTCTGTCTCTCTCTCTCTGTCCCTCCGTCCGTGCAGCGTGTTCTCTACTGTCTTATAGCCTCATCCAGCCTGAAACAGGATCCTGGTTTCCTTGTTCGTCACTGCCAGCCGTGGCCTAAAAGAAGGGAGCCAAACATGCCAGGGTGTCGACAATGCATACACACCACGGCGCAGGCACCCACAAACCCTGCACAGCATGGAGCAGGAATACAATCCGTGTAGACTAACCGAGTGTTAAGTGAAGGCAGAGACAACTAAATGAAAATACAGTGATTTAGACAATAAACTCAGCTTGAATTATTCGAAGCAGCTATTAACAATTATTAACATGTAACATATCCACAGGCACACACACTGGGCCTCGTGTAGAAAAGTGTCTCGCTGTTACCCAGCTGAGCGGAATGATGAATCCCACATGATTTTAAATTTGGGGCATGTGGCCGATTGTTTCATATTAGCACAAACAAAAAAAAAACTAAACCCCACTTAAGGCCAAAAGTTTGATGACATTCATGTGTTATTTTTAGATGTTTGGTGGACTTAAAAAACAAGAGGGTCTGTTTCTAGTCTTGATTTGAAAAATGAATTAACTGAAGAGCAAAAAATAATATAAATAAATAAATATTTATGAGGTCCAAGTAGGTATGAACCAAGTATTAACCAAAATAATGGATTCAAACAAAATAAAACAAAATAAAAAAAATTGATAGTTTTATTAGAGGGCCATCGTCACAACTCTATATTTAAACTCCTGCTGGGCCTTTCAGAGTCTTAACTCTACTCGTTGTGCCATAAGACCCCAGACAGAAACACAAATTGATCTTTTCCAGGAACAACAACATGGAAATAGATATGTGGCTGCAAGATAGATAAGCATCCGTCTGTCTGTCTGTCTTTCTGTCTTTCTAGCCATTAGTATCCAATTCAGACTTTGCCAAAACAACACAATGCATTTCTCAAAATTACATGTTTAATCTAGTAGGAGAGTATGAAAGGAACAGCACTGCTATGTTAATATAGCATTAACATAGATTTATATGTGAAATCAACATGCAGAGACTTTGTGTGGGGTTTTGTGTTTCACTGTTTCCGTGTGTGTGTTTGTGTGTGTGTGTGTGTGTGTGTGTGTGTGTGTGTGTGTGTGTGTGTGTGTGTGTGTGTGTGTGTTTCACCCTGTTGAAAGTTTAAAGTATTTTTGGATTTCCTCTTGACAACTTTAAAGCAGACATTGGGTTCTTCCTCTGAACCTTTTGTGGTCAAAGATGTGTACAGCAAACACAGACAATTCTTTTTTTTGCCCGAATGCACCAGAGAGAGAGGGACTCAAAACTGCAAAGCAGCTCTCTTAAGATGGGGGACGTAACTGGAGATAAGTGGAAGGACCCAGCTGGTGCACGCACTCCATCTCTGTTCGTGTGGTGGAGGGGGGAGGGGGGGGGGGGTCGCATGCTGATGAGATGCTAATTCATGTCAGTCAGGCACAAGCTGACGCTAAATACACAATGAATTATTGGAATAAGATGGCAGTTAGATACGACACCTGTCGGCTTACATGGAAAACGCTGTGCAGCCGACTCGCTCCAAGGAGTCCGTTAAACATACTACTAACCAATGTGCAAACAAAGGGCCGATCGATCTGCAAGTCATGAACCACAGTTAATAGATACCAACTGATTGGGGCTTAGTTTTAGTTAACGTGTTTTCACTGGTCCATTAAATGTCCGGTCAAGCTGTGGGGTCTGAGAATCCTCCTGATATCCAAGCCGAGGCACAGAAGTTGGTGTCGTCAGTGGTTAAGTGAGCAGATCAGCGATGGAGTGTCAGTCCTTTATTATTCAGGCGGGTAATGAGACCGTGATAGCTCACTGGACGCTTCTCAGGTTTGCAGATTTGCAGCAGGTATACGCTGTGTCTTTTAAGACCGTGTCACCACTTGAATTTTTGAATGTCCACTGACAGAGGTTTTGCTTCCATTGCAGTGTTGGAGATCAGTTCTGTCATGAAGCAGGAGACATGTGATGGGTTATAGATGCCATGGTTTTATCCATATTGCCCATCCTTCACAGGTAAGTAACATTAGTAGTAGGATCTGTTTAAACCCTTTGCAGTGTGTGGGGTTTGTTTTCCGATTAGATTATATGCAGCGTATAAAACGACGTGAGGCACTCGGGCCTCTATGAGGCTCTTTGTGTGGACGACCTGTCGCCCATCAAGGACATTCGTCACACAAAAGGAACCCAATCTGACTTCTCTGCAATGACTTCATCACTAGGAGGGAAATCCTAGCATGGATCAAATCCGTCATTCAAGGAGATCATCTTGAACGTCTACAGAGGTGCAAACTGATACACGGGCGCACACACACACACACACACGGAAAGCGCTTTTAATGAATATGCTAGGTGCGGTTTGATCAGTCTAATTACCACTGGCAGGGCAGTTGTTCGCCTGTGGTATTAGATTGCACTGTGCATCATTTTTAAATGGACCAAGTTCTTTCCGCCTTCTGAGGTCAGCTTTAAAAATGAGAACGCTACCATTTTTTTAAAGGAAGACTTAGTGAGCTTTTAAATGTGCACACATGGTATTGGAGACTAGCGTGTGAGAGTTTTGACACATAAGGTCAACACAAGCCCAATGTCTCAATATCAACATGGCTGACAACTTTTATATATATATATTGCATTCTGTAGTAAAACAATAAACTTTATATCCTTACATTCTTTCTTGTAAATCATGAACCCTTACACGTGCATTTCTTTAATCTCTAAATGTCCTACCCATGAAACTTTCTGTACTGACATGAACAAGGAGGTTTATTTAATACTTTGAAACCTTTTTTTTTCATGGAGGATTTTGTATACTACAATATATTTATCACTACGGATCAGATGAAATCTGCAAGCACTGCACCCACACAAGGAGTGATTCATCATGGGCTACAAGCACTAGCGTTCTAAGGTATCATGTTAACATCCACAGGGACGGGGTTCTAAAATGATGAATTACCACTTACAGCCAACCAGCTGTGATCATGTTTGGAACTTAAGCACTTAGGAGTGAAGTAAACAGGTTTTTATTTATTTTACTTCCGAATTATACAGATACGTGCCAAATTAATGAAGGGAAATAAATATGAGTAAATTAGTGGAGAAAAAGATAATTGATAATGTAACACCCAAGGTTTGGGAGACGAGGGTTTCAAAGAAAAAGGCCACAACAGTCAGTATGGGACATTTGTTTTACAGTTGTTGCTTCACAAAGAAGCCACACGTCAGTCACTCTCCCCAAAGAGCCCCGAGGCCGCCTCAGGACACGAAGATATATAATCTCTCCAGCAGCTTTTGTTGCTGTTGGGTGTGCCTAGAAAAAACACTTAAGGGAAGCGTCCGGCATTCTGATCATGTGCCCAAACTAACTTGCTTCTTTTAACACTAAAAAGCACCAGCAGCCTCAATCAGAGTTCCTCGTACCCGTCTCCAAAGGCCGAGCCTTTCAACGGGAAACCCTGCATAAAACGTAAATGTAAAATCAAGTCTAAAATATACGTATGCAGTACACTCCACCGCAATGATTAAACAGTACTGCCCATCAGAAAAACCCTAATGCGTAATAAAGCACAGGTTCAGCTGCTTTAAAAGAGACACATGAGCGTGAGGTCGGCCTGCAGTCTCAACACCTGCTGCCCATCAGCCTACTTATGAGTCTGTGGCTCTCACCCGATTGGCTCAACACTCACCGTAGCAGCATCCGCATCAGTTAAGCCTGGGTGCTGCAGACTCACTCAATTCTATTTCAGCCTTGAAATAAACGCATTACGCGTCTGTGAAGTTGGTTACTTGGAACAGGAACAAATGGCATCAGCTCTTTCGGCTCATTTGGATTGTGTCACACTCACTTTGTTCTTTTTCAATCACATGGGAACACAGGAGGATAAACGAAAGACTCGTAGTCCTTCATGCGAAGTGAAGTGGATGAGAACTTTTGGAAACGAGTCACTGAGGTGGTCTAGAATCAACACGGGCTCATTTATGAGCAGTTTAGTGAAGGAAACCACCAGCTCGTGCTCATTAGTGTGTGACGCTTGTTCATTAGAATTTAAAATTATATTTTCGTGCACTTGTCCCCTGCATTGACACAAAACAGCATCCCAGATTACAAACTCACATGACGTGGTAATAGGTCGGTTGTGGGCTAATTCAGTGCTTTTAATTGTACAAAAATAAAAATAAAAATATGAAAATATTATGCGTGATGTGTGAAACAAACAAGATATTTATTCATTGTCTATTGCAATGTGCGGTTAACAAAGTTTCCCATAACGTATGAGACAGTTGACACACCCACAGATTCTCTCTGTTAATAATGTTGGTCATTAAAATATAGCTTTTTTTCAAGTTGAGTCTGTTTTCCTCTCTTCTAATCTTTTAACACTGAGTCATCTGTCACCCGTATCCCAGCATTCATTTCTTTCCAACTAAATAGTATGTAAAAACTTCAAAGTTTCGTGGAGCTAGTATTTCCTCTCATATCCTCATCTGAGCTCTGTGGGAAACAGCAGAAAAGTTGGAAGTCTCAATATCAGATGTCTCCCCTGTATGCAAAATGCTAATCAGAAAAATAACAAATAACAAAACCATGAGTATAAATTCTGTTATTGTAATAAATAATTCCTCCAAAGTCATTTATTCTGTATTCATCACCATCAATCTATCAATGAACTACACTTCAGACTTGACAGTTATACCTTTCACAGTAATTTATTAACCAAATCATTAAAAATGTTTGACCGTCAGTAACAGTAGTGTCTAAAAATGAGCATAAAACCTACTACAAGAAAAACACATTATAGGGGGATAAAATAATGTCTAATATATATTATTTAATATATTAAATATTATATTAATATTATTTCAAGAAAGTTACACTAGCTCGTATCACATATTATTCTAGCTAGTTATGCAAATATTTGAACGTCAACTAAATCGTGTTTATTAGAATTTGTCAAACTTGTTTCAAATATTAGTGCAGTGCTACAATATCTAACATAAAATATTGACTTTATTGTGAACTTACATATGTGAAACAGCTTTTTTATAGTAAGACTCTATTTTAGCATGACTCAAAGACACCATGGAAAGGGAAGTAAAGTCAATATTATAGTATGTGTTAAAAAGATGCTGAGTTTGACATTTGCTTCAGTACAGCAGTACTGTTAAAAATCCTCTTCTTTTAGATGTTAAGCAATCGCTGAGAGAGCATTTTTCCTTCCTCATGGTTCTCGCTTCTTGAAATCAGATCTACTACATCCCATCTAACGCTTTGGTTTGAACAACCATGTAAAGTATACAGTCATAAAATAAATCATATTCTGTTCATTATGGACAAACATGATGACCGACCACTTCCCCAATGAACCAGGGAAGTATGTTTGATGCTCGATGCCACTAATCATCGATATTAGTCGATGCAGTGGTAGCGTGGACCTCCGTGGCGGTGGTGGCGAGTGAGGCCGAGGTCCCGGTTGAGGTGCCGTCGCGTGCTTTGCTGCGGGGCCTCATCATCTCCTCCCTGTTACGCTCAGGTTTGACCAAAAGAACGTAACACTTGGGCAAGAAAATGCAGGTCAGCAGGCCGAAGCTGGAGGCCAAGATGGCGAAGATCTGGACAGCCACCATGAACTTCCCACGGGTGCTGAGGTACGCCGGCACGAAGGAGATCCACACGATGAAGAAGACGAGCATGCCGAAGGTCACGCACTTGGCCTCACTTGAAGAAAGAGTAAACAGAAATAATCCCTCTTAACGTTTTACGCTGATTTATATGTAACTACATTGCAGAAATATGATTTATTTCCAGCTAAATGGCTGCCGTGATATCACTTTTCCCCTGTTTACCTCGCGTGTTCCCTACCTGAAGTGGTCCTCCAGCTTGCGGGCTATGAATGCAAAGACGAAGGCCAGCAGAGCCAGCAGGATGTCATAAGCAAAGATGCAACAGATGAATACCACAGAGCCTTCGTCGCACTCCAGGATGATCTTTATGTTCTGGGTGGAGGTGTTTTCGACGGGGTGTGGCGGGATGATGATGAGCCACACCGTGCAAGCCACAGCCTGGGTACAAGAATGTCAGATGCAGCATGAGGTCAGAGTGAAGATGCTTCTCACAGGCTTTACTTGCTGTATTTGTTGTCTCTACCTGTATCAAAGTTGCCACAGCAGCTATCGCCCTCTGGTGGCCACAGGTGAGACTGTCAACTTCAGAGTCCGCGCCGGCTTTGGCCTCAGCGTGGTGAAAGGTAGCGATGACGTCAGGACTGCCGCCGTCGGCTGCTGCTTGGGCGGCTTCGGCTGCGGCCAACTTGGCGGCTTTGGCAGCCGCTTTGGCTCTGATCCGTTCCGCTTTCAGGGCCCGGGCTCTCAGCATCAGCACCACTGTCTTACCTGAATCACAGAGCAGCCAGAGGATAGACGGAATGTGCACTGCACATTCCCCCATACACGCAGCAACAAACTCACCCATAATGGAAGAGAGGCAGAGGGCGAAGCCCAGAGCCAGGGCCACCTGACTGGTCATGCAGCTCCAGGGCTGAGGTTTGCCGAGGAAGACGATGGAGCAGAGGAAGGTCACCACCAGCGAGAAGAGCAGGGAGAAACTCAACAGAGCATCATTGGCCTTCACCAGAGGGGTGCCGATGTGAGCAACAAACACCACCTGGAGAAGAAGCAAAGGGAATCACAACGTTTGAGGGTTCGGGCCGCTTACTCACTGCAACAAGGGAGCTGTCGGCTTCACCGGGTGTTTTTTAGTTCTTCCTGAGTGCGACTCACCCCGACACCGATGGTGGCCAGAGCCCCGAAGGCGGAGATGGCGATGAGAGTGATCCCCAGCGGCTCTCCGAAGGCGAGGAACTCAATGATCTTTGATACGCAGGCGTCGTGAGCTTCATTGGACCACTCGTCATAACTGCACAGGATGCACGCACGAGCATCTGTCAGAGAGGGAGGGACCCCGACTTAGTCCGGATCGACCCCGGAAGTGCAGAGCACGAAGGCCCAGTCGAGCTTCCACGTTATAAGATGATTACTCCAATATGCCACTGCTGTATTCAGTATCTTTTTATTTTGACATTAGTCTAGAATGTCAAGGACGGACTTTTTAGGAAGACACCGTCATGTCAATAAGGCTCCATATATACTGACTGGTTGAGTTGCTGATCTCTCCATCAGCACACGGGATGCAGTCAAAGCAGCAGACTGGCTCTCCCTGTCGGATTCCCTTCCTGGTGCCCGGCTGGCAGTTCTCACTGCACACTGACCGAGGAGTCTGCAACACACACACACACACACACACACACACACAGATTTATAGAGAAACACACACACGCATGTGACCCGGAAGAGAGGAGATTCAAGCGATGCTGCTGACCTCCAGCTCCTCATTGTTCCACACGATGGAGTCATTCACGATCTTCATCCTGTCCTCCGGAGCTGCTGAGCCATTGTAGCTTCCCACGGTGACGTAAGACATCTCCCCGTTACCGTTGACCTGCCAGTTGATGATGTCATAGAAGCCCTCCACATCTCCTTCCTCGAAGTAGATCTCTTCGTCCGTGTGCGGCACTTTGAAGCGCACGTTCTTCACGTAGTACATCAGCTAAGGGAGAGAAGGACGGAGCCACGTCTGAAACGCATGCACGTGAAAACTGTTGTATTCAACAGGTGTCTCTCTCTCTCTGTCTCTCTCTCTCGCAGGTTCACCTGCCACGGCTCAAACTTGGTGATGTCAGCACAGCTCTTCCCCACGAATGGACCCTGTCCCTCGACGCAGTGCTCCAGGTTGTGCAAAGCGTGGGCCACAGCGTACACAGCTTTGTACACACTGTGGAGAAACATCATCATCATCATCATCATCATCATCTCCCTGGCCTGGGGCTACTTTTTGTAATGTGGGTAATAATGCAGCCATAAGGGCCGTGAGAAGTTACCTGTAAGTGATTCGTAGCTGGGAAACATCAGAGTAGGTGTTACGGAGAAGTGCCAGAGACTCGCTGCCCGTACACAGCCCGTCCGGAGCCGCCCGCGCGGACCTGGACAGCGTGCCGTTAGCCCCCATGGCCCTCTGCTTGGTCAGCGCCGCCGCTTTGCTAGAGTCCAATGTGCAGTTAAACAACTACAAGAAACGAAAACAGGGTCACAAACCTTCTCTAGAGCTGCGTACGACGTGTAGAGCTTCCACTGCATGTTCATCCTCAATGTGTCCGCTTAATACACACACCATCTCCCACAATTCCTCTGTGAGCCCGTTGGTGTAGGGGTCCACGTCCAGTAGATGGCGCTGAAGACCCGGAATGTCCGCCCTTTTAACCCCAAACCCCAGGGTACCGCCAAGCACCGAGTTCACCTGGGGAAGAAAACACGCAGGTTGTCAACTTCAGAGGCTGCGGAAGCATCTGCTTCATGTCTGTTCAGTCAACCGAGCAGTGAGCGTTCTTCCATCAGTCGCCGCTGGACCGAGCACTCACCGCCGGCTGGTTGATGAGGGCGGAGGTGACCCAGGCCTCGCTGGCGATCCAGGTGCGGTCGGTCACGTTGTGCCGGAGCAGCTCCAGGACGAGAGGACTGAGGTCCACGTCTGACGAGAAGACCACAACGATCTTGGCCGTGGCCTCCGCTACAGTTTTAGCGATGCGCTGGATGTCCTCGTGTGAACTCACCTGAAGTAACCGATTACATTGTCACATGTTACATTTTACGAGAAGACCGGCGGGACAGGAAGGCCGCTGAGGTATTGACTGAGGAGACGTTACCTTGGGCAAGGTCTCAGAGAAGGAGATGCAGACACCGGCTTCCTCAACCTGCTCCTTGAAGTCTTTGATGCCGTACTTGCCGTAGTCATCGTCCGCGACTATGGTGCCCACCCAAGTCCAGCCGAAGTGTAGCACCAGCCGGGCCATGGCCGCGGACTGGTGGATGTCGTTGGGAATGGTCCGGAGGAAGGTGGGAAACTGGAACTTGCTTTCCAGGGCGGAGCAAGTGGACGAATAGCTGACCTAAAGAGGACACACGCACGTTACGCTTGTCCTCTCTGTGTGCTCGTCCTCGTCGGACACGGCCGGCCTACCTGCGGGAAGTGATAAAGTCCAAGTATCCTCGCCGTGGCGATGGACAGATCGGAGCCCCCGGCGCCCACCAGAGCAGCCAGAGGCGCCCCCGTCCCGCAGCGGTAGTTGGGCACGGCCTCGTCTTGGCCCGTCAGGTAGGTGAGGGTGCCCTCCACCGCCTTGGAGATGGTGAAGCAGGAGTCGTAGATGACGTAGCCCAGGTCGGTGTTGGGCAGCAGGTCCGGCGCCTGGTTGATCTCGTCGATGGCGAACAGCATGGTCTGGGTCCAGCGGAAGGTACGGAGGTTAAACCTGGAGAATGATGGGGGGGAGGGTTGGATAACGGAAAACACAAAAAGAAAGAGATCTGAGAAAAACTCCAAACGAAAATACCGTATGACACTGTCGTGCCGTATAAGAAAATATGCATGAGCTATTTTAGTCCTTTGAATGTTATTACCTAAATTAGACACAAAGGGACAGTCTTGCTGATTATTTTTACTTGAAATCTGAAGCACTGAGATGATAATAGGGGGACTAAAGCTAATTGGACCCAGAGGTGCTGCCAAGCTCTTTATTGATTTCTACTGTAGAAGCATCAGGTTAAGAGTTTTTATAAGCACTCAACTAAAAGCAATTTAGTCCATTTATTTCTCATAACGTCACTTATTTAGGCCTTTGAGATTATCTAAAATGTCTTCAAGCATCAAATTAAAGCAAAGGGCAAATACAAAAGAGGAATGAGAAGCTCAGCTCACCCCTCACACCCCGAGGACACCGGCACCTTGGACGTGTTGCCATCGATGGAAGCCAAGCGCTTGTGAACAGGAAACATCCCCCCGACAACAACCTTCTTCTTCACTACATCCTTGTAGCCGCTCAGGTTGAACTTGGCCTTCAGCTTGCACGTGGGCTCTGCAGAAAGAGAGCTGTAAAAGCAGAGAAGGGCACACAATCCAAGCCAACAGCGACCGACTTCCATGCTACGCGGGGCGCAGAGAGCAGCCGGGGCAGCTGACGCTGCGGCAGACAGGGGGAGGAAACAGCCAAGTGAGACAGGTGTCTGTCCTCCAGGGAGATGCTCTTCACTGAGGAGGGGAGGGTGGGGGGGCGGGTGACACTGGATCAGCACGTATGAGTCTTCATTGAAACCTGGACAAGGACTAACCCCTTAGTTCTTACCAAAGCATTATGATCTCATTAAGCATGTCTAGTTCAAAAGGTGTTTTTTTGGGACTGGACACTGCGCCGCGTGCACAAACACACACTTCATGCTGCTGAGACGAGTCAGTCATCATCCGTCTGCACACAGCTGGTGGGGAGAAACTGCCACAGGCCACACGATAATTGGCAGCCGTGTGTTGTTACTTGTACACTCTTTAGACAACGTAACAAAGCGGCTACAGTTGCAGAATCACGGCCGGGCGTCCCCCGAGTGTGCGTCTGCGTGGGTGTTGATGGATGATTGAACTTGCCTGCGCTTGTCGTTCAGTCCCGTGGGGAGAAACGCACACCTGAACCCCGACGCACACACAGGGACCTCGGCTGGGTAACGAGGGCCGACCGCACACAAATAAGCTGCGGTCTCAACTTCTCTCAACAATATGACCTTGAGAGCGGGTGTGAATGTCTCAGGCAGATGTTTGATTCTGGTGCGATACAAAATGATGAAGTGTGGTTAGTTAAAGAAGCGAGAGTGACATTAAAACAAAATCCATCTACTTTTACCTTTTAGTTCTACATTATGCTTGAATGCGTTCTGTATTTTTTTTAATTGTGGTGGGGTTATTATATGTGGTGTACTCCAACTGCATTCTAGATGAAAATCAATAGAAACAATGTGACGCAAAGCCAAAGAGTTAAGTTGCTCAATATAGAAGTGAGACGTTTTAACATGGAGATCTTTATTAAAGCTCAGTTTCCCATTGTACAAAAAACTGCATGCTGTGACTTTGAGGCACGTTACTAAAGGAGAATGAACTGTTGAATACAAATATTCAGACACCACCAACCCCCTCCCCCAAAAAATACATTAAATTGCATAACTTAAATCATCAATATTGCAATTAAATCCAAATTGTGTGTCCAACATTGCCACGCAGTTGTAGAGATACGCAACAGAAATACACACCAATAGCAGGTAAGAAGTATGGAAAACCTTTCATTTTGCATTAGCAGTTTATGCCTCTACACGGCAGGGAGAAAACAGAATGAGAGGCACAAGGACAAATTCTGGCACCGTGACAACCACTGCGTCTGAGGGAAACGGCTCCATCGGGCTACGATCTACGCTTCGTGACAGAGCTACAGTTGATGTGCTTAATGTTTTGACAACGGAAATGAATCAAGCAGTCAATGCCTTTTTGTGACACGTACTTGTTAGGCGATGGCAACAGTCAATGTGTCAGTCAACCTGACCTTTGACCCCACACAGTGAACGACCTAAAAGTCCCCACTGGATGCATGGTTCTGCACCAAGGCTTTCTTTGAGGGTGCAAAAATGTAAAAAAAAGAAGAAAAAAAAGGAGACCTGCAGACCTGTTGTGCAGACCTGCACAACAAAAGAGCAGCCGAATAAGGATATAAAGACACTTGTATTTTACACAATGTGGTTATATAAACTCTACAGTACTAACTAATCATTTAGTCATTAGTTAATCCTCGTCTTGTTTATTCTTCATTAAAAGCATATATATTACCAGATAAAGAGAAACTGTTGTTGCATCCTCCTTTCCAGAAACATTGAAGTTCAGGTCGCGTCACATCGGGAGATAAACAAAAACAACAGTGGCAGATACAAAGTTCATCGTAGCCATCGTATTGGCCTCCTGCACTCTATTCAGCACACTGAAGTTTCTCTTGGGTCGCCGGCAACGGCCCCACAGCTCAGATCACAATTTACCCCGGAGAGAACGTCAAGAGGAGCCCACCAATGTTATGAATCGTCACATTCTACTTTTGGCAAAACAAAAACCGTAAAAAGTTATTGATTGGTCACACAGGTTGCCAGTTTGTTTTTTATATTAAAAGCAGACAAATTACTTAATATCCCAGGACAAAAAGGCAGGACAAATAAAGGGGATAGAGAGAGAACTGTGAAACAATAACCTCCGACAAAAAAGGCAGAAAACAGTCTCTAGTTGGTGACACCTTTCCCATTTTTATGTTTCGCAACAATATATTATTAATCAACCAACAATAGTGCCGCCTTCCGTGGGAATGTTGAAGAGACAGAGGGAGGGACAGAAAAGGAGGAATTGACCAGCAATCTGTTGAGTGGGTTTGTGCATTGTGAGTGTCCCATCGGTACGACGTCATGTTGGGTTTTATTCCCACTCTGTGGTGCCAGGTGGTTTGGAGGTCAGATCATACATGACTCTGGAGATGCCTGGAATCTTCTTGATCTGATTCACCATATCCAGCACCACCTGCGAAAACAGATAAGTAATTATTGTGGGGCAGACGATTCCATCCCTGGACATAGCTTAGCATCCGTGATGGCATCCTGATGCTTTGACCAAGTGGAGAGCTTGAATACTGCTGTATACCTCCTCCGGGATCTGGTTGCCGGGCTGGGCAGGGATGCCGGTCATGAAATCGCTGGTGATGAAGGTGCGGATCACCACGGAGCGCCGGCAGGATGGCTGTTTCTGGAGAGGGTCGCGGTCAAAGTGCAGCGGGGTCAAGATGACCGGCATCTGGCTGATCTTACCGGAGTAGCCTGAAGGGAGAAGACGTTCTCATTGCTGGGTTTACAACTTTGATGAAAACTTTTTTTAAAAATCATCCCTATCCATCTCAGATTTAGAAAAATGGCTTGAAATATTTAATTAAAGTATAAAGGCGTAGACCTATGGATCATTTATACAATAGAAAACGTGAATAAAATGATTTTCAAAAGCACTCCAGAAGGCTGAATGAAACTTCAGATACGTCACAAGAATCAACATGGGGTTTGCCTCTGGGGGGACGGTAAATTCCCCATGTGGCTGCAGGAATGCAGACGAGTGCTGTGATCTTAAAAAGTATATGGAGATATGAATACAAGGCTTTGTGGGGAAGAAAAAGGAGAGAATGGCGCTAAAGATACCACATGGTTACTACAGTCCTGTGATGACGTTTTATTTTTAGATACTGTGTACACACTCACTCACCAGACTTGCTAAGGATAGAGTGAGCTACAAAGTCCGCCTGTCTGAGTGTTCCCAGAACGCCTGTGGTCAGGTAGGTCGGAGTAATGTCTGTTGGCGGCTCCTTCACGTGGGACCCAAACACATACACCACTCTGGAAAAAGGAGACGTGAGTGACTGGGTGGGAATCGATGGAACGCAGAGTGTGTAGAGCGGAGCAGTGCGCATTACCTGTTGATGGTGTGGCACATGCGAGGGATGAGTCGGGCGAGGAACATGAGAGACTCCCAGTGTGGGGACTCTTTACTTGTGACACCGCACACGTAGCTGTAGGACCGGCAATCCCCCTGAGATGGGAGAAGAATTTTGTGTGTATTATTACAGATGTTCATAAACTAGGCCTTATTAGAAGGTCAGCGAAACAGAAGACAAGAAATCTGCAATGAATGTTTGACGTGTGTCACTTTCCAAACATCACATTTAGTCTGTTACACAAACAGGCATGTTTCTATAAATAAAGTGTTTTCACTTCCAACAAATTCCACTGGGGGGAAAAAAAGCCACCCGTGTTTGTCTCCTGTCTGCGCCACAATTTGAGGTTAGGGAGGGAGCGGGTGGGGGTGTTAAAAATATCTTAGAATTAGGCCGCACCCTAACCCATAACCACTCAAACAGTCCCTGGTCATGACCATATTTTTCTCCAGGACTCTGTAAAGGTCCATATGAGTTACTTACTTTTAAACCGTCCGCAAAAACATTTTACAAGATTTTGCTGGACAAGAAACACACACACAAAGGGATTGATCGCCTATCTTACCTGGACGCCGACCGTTTTGATGGGCAGCAGGAAGGCATTGAGTGAATGAAGGCTGGTGATCTGCATGAGTTTATCTTCCTCCTCGTCCGACATGCACGACTTGACTCTCTGCACCAAGGCGTGGGGCTGGAGGGGAGAGACGCAGATTTTAAAGCAGAATGTAAAACAGCAAGGACCTCGGAAAAAGATCCATCCATGCTGTGACTTTTAACTCATGTAGTGAACACTCCTCACGTCCTGGCTTTGCAGTGCGTCCATCATCTTGACCATAGAGCCACATACATCCTGATTAATAAAGTCAAAGTAGATCAACTCTGAACTTCAATCATTTATCAAATGAACAGCTGTTCTACATATCGGGTGGCGACAGTGGCGCATGGAGTAGAGGGTCCCTGAGCAAGACACCTAAGCCCGGATTGCTTCCATAGGTTAAAATGCAATGTAAGTTGCTTTGGATAAAAGTGTCAGCTAAATGACCTGCAATGTAATATAACAAACAGCTAACAGCCAATAACAGCCACTGACAGCGTCAGGGGAACTTCCTTTAGCAGGCGTATGAAAAACATGGTTTCAAACAACAATTAGACACAAAACATCTTAAACATCAGAATGTTTGGGCTTGGCTGCACATTATTAACTCGTAATGAACCAGAATGGCCACAATTGTCTTCTCATTTGGTTTGTGGCCAGAGCGTCCTCTGTAAAGCTCATTAGTCATTACTTGTGACACTTGTTGCCAAAAACCGCAGGGGACGACTCACAGTAATAAGTCCACACACTGTTTATTCCCCCACAGCATGTTAACGACCAAATATATCCCCGGCTATACTTTGTGGCTCCTTGGATGAAATCCACCTTGATGTCTGGATTGGTGTACTACCTCTAATATCCGTCATCTGGAGACTCAGTGTGTGCGCCAGCTTAGAAGCCTGCTTTCAATAAGCAGTAATTAAAAACCTATCATTAGTTAAGAATACATAAGTTGGGATTCTGTGACCGAGACAATATTTCCCTAAAACACAGGCGGTCAAGGTTATTAGAATCATTTCATGCATCTCCATCGTTCTGACCTTTTTGACACTTGCAGAGAAGTCTGTGATGATTTTGAGGATGTTGTTTGTTTCAGTAAAGTCCTTACAAATGTACGGCTCCTCTGCACAAATCACTCTGATGGACAAACCGGGACCTAAAAAGAGTAATTTCTTTTAGAAAATATAAGCGCAGTGAGGAAAGTGTTTATAGTCTTTGATTAAATTAAGCTAAATGAGTAATTTTATATATATATAATGTGTAAGAGAAAGAAAGATCAAAAAGGTAATCCCTTTTGTCAGAGCAGTCGCATCATTGGCATGCGTTGATGTACTTGCCAGGGAAAGGATGTCGGGAGACTATCTCCTCTGGGAGGCCCAGCTCTCTGCCCAGCGCTCGGACTTCATCTTTATGGAAATCTTTCAGTGGTTCGATTACTTTTCCCTGGAGGACAGAAAAGGAGTGGACTCAGCATTACAACAGATTGAGAGTGAAGTATATGCTTTGGTGTTGCATGGATACGGGTAAGTATATATTAGAAAAGGGATGAGCAAAACAAGAAAAAAATAATAATGAGCAGTCAACAGCTTATAAGGACGACTCAGTGCTTCTTCTAGTTACTGAACAACTATTGAAGAAAGACAGCTTAAGGGGATGATGGATAATGTAGAAATACATGTTTCAATAAAACAAGCATGTGTGCCGTACCGTTTTCCTGAGTTCGCGGATGAGCTCAGTGTCGTTGTGATGCGTTTTGATGACAGCCGCCTTGCCGCTGGCCATATGAGAGGCACTTTCAATAAGATCGGGCCGCAAGGTACCCTGGGCCAAGAAAACCTCTTCGGGCTTCAGATTCATCTCTCCTATAACTTCGTTTGCCACCTGTGAAGCAATGGGATTCAAAATGTCAGACGCATCAGTGAAGTAGTGAATGTGATGTACTGCAGACAAGCTGGCAGGTTGAGATACAAATGTGATAGCGGACAAACAAATTGCACTTTTCACAAAACAATCCATTAATACTCACTTTGACAAATGTATCACCGATGATTTTCCTTTTCTCTTCTGGGTTGGTCGTCATATTCAGAGTCTTGCTGATACGTTTGCGCGGCGTCCTGTCCTCGTCGGAGATGGGGAGTGTTGTCGTTCCGTTGTAGAAGGTGTGAGCTGCGTTCACCACTAAAAAGAGCAAACAGAATTACTTCATTCTCATACCGATAAATCAGGTGTAGAATACTATTCCAGTTATCCATCTCATGGCAAAATAAACTAACAACAAGTTCAAGGGATGCGCGCCGCTGACTTGTATGGTGTCATTGTTGCAGCCCCACTTCCTTTAGACCGCCGGGACTTTTGTCCGTACCTTTGAGCTTGATGCCGAGCTTGGTGAGGGCCTCCTCCACACTCTGACTCTCTCTCTTCCTCATGAAGCCGTTGTCGATGTGCACTGCGATCACCTGGTCCTGGTCCAGCGCTTTGTTGAGGAGAGCAGTGCAGACTGTTGAGTCTACCCCGCCACTCAGCAGCACCTGAATAAATCATTCGAAAACAGTCACTGGCTGTGCAGCCACATCGTTAAACAGGGACATATCAACCTCTGCTGGACAGTGGAGAAAGGATTTCCTACTCAACTTCATTCATTCTTTAAATGTAAATCATCTGCCTTGAGGCCTTTTCTTCCGCTCATTTATCGCCTTCACAATCCCCTGAGATGAAGCCCAGTTTGAAGGCGCTCGGGAAGTAAACTAGACCTCTTTTCAGATAAAATAGGGTTTAATTTGAGAGTTTAATTGGTTCTACTTCACTTCCCACCGCTGCTGCTATCACCACTTCCTGAGCGGCTATTAAATATCACACTCTGCAACTCAGCTTTTGACTGGAGTCAAATTATCTCCAATTATTAGTTCAAATGTGCTGGGAAATATGTTCTCTTCCGTTTTCTACTGATCCCACTTTTCTTTTAAAAGTCATCCCTCTGCTCTTTTGATAACACACACACAGCCATGAAACTTTGTGCAGTTTTACTCACCAGGACTTTAGACTTGTTTACTTTTTCTTTGATTTCGTTGATGCAGTCCTGTTGGCGGCTCTGTACGGTGAAGTTACTGGTGCATTCTGCAATCTCAAACAGGAAGTTACGCAGCATCTCGACACCGCCCTCTGTCAGGTCGACCTCGGGGTGAAACTGTGTCCCGTAGAGCTTCTTTTGTTCGTTAGCAATCCCTGGTGGAGACATCAGATGTGGAAAAGGCCATTAACATTGCTATTTATCCGCTTTGAATTACCCTTTTAAAAATACATTCAAACAAAAGGATTCAGAAGTTAGAAGACTGAAAATAAAGATTTAGCATTCTTCTCAAGAGGCCTGAGGCTTGTGTATTTGGGACATGCATGTGAGTTTTTGATCACAATCTAATTATAGATTATGTTAATCACGAGTCGCAGCTCATTTTGTGTGCTTCTCACCGGCGATGATGCTCCCCGATTGGGCCACTACTTTAAAGCCATCGGCCACTTTATCCACACTGTCTCCGTGGGTCAGCAGGACCAGTTCCTCCTTCTGAAGGCCCCTGATTACAAACACACACATTATTATTACAAACCAGGGGGAAATATGTGGCTGCCGGAGTGGTTCTGCAGTTTATCTAGTAAATATGACACTTGGACAGACAAGTTGAGCAGCACTTTTACACAGCTCACAACATTTTGTTCTTGGTTATTAAATAGAAAAGGTGGCAATTTAAAGTTTACTGACTGATCCAGAAGGGAATTTGTGAATCCTTATGTTTATTATTCATTGACAGCATGATTACAATGGCGATCTTCAATTGATTAAAGTTATATAGTAATGCATTTTAAAATAAAGACATTTACTAGAGATCAACTTGAGCAAACATAGTACCTGAAGAGAGAACAAGTGTTGTCCAGCCCAACGGGGAAAACCCCATCTTCCCGTACACTCTTTTTGAGTACTGTGCCGTTAAAAACCTTATTCATCAGCTGTAAGACACACACAGAACATAGTTAATAATTGGACACAAAAAATCTCAGCAACTGCCTGCTGGTTTTAGTTTCTACGCACGGTAATGAAAGTGGCGCGCTCATCTCCCTCAGTAAGTGTCAAAGAGCCCTTAGCAAAGGTGGTGAAGTACGAGTTGGCCTAGGAGAGCTGAACAGCAGCCCAGGTGTAAAGAGATCTTTATGCCTGTCCCTCTGAGAATGTGTCTAACACAAATTCTTCCTGGAACAAATGCCTAACCACTTTAAAACCCTCCTATCACAGAAGCTTACTGTGTATAAATGCATGTACATGGTTACCTGCATCCCATAGCAAATCCCAAGGACGGGCTTTCCTATGGTGAATATGGCCTGGTCATATAAAGGGGCATCTTCAGCATAAACCGATGCAGGACCTCCTGAAATGATGATCGCCCTAAGATGAGGAGCAGACAAAATGTATTATAAAATACTTCCATAACGACAGAATAATGTTTTAAAAACAAAAAAAAAGAAACATTTTCTAGGTGGAAATGCTTCTCACGCTCACCGGTAGCCCTTTTCTCTGAGGACGAAGGCCGGGGTATCTAAAGGGAGGACGTCAGAGCGTACGGACAGCTCTCGCACCCGCCTGTCGATCACCTTGCCATACTGGGCTCCAGCATCCAGGATCGCCACTGCTCCTTCGCACGATCCATTCTGCTCTCCGTCTGCCCCGTTGATCTCCAGCTGTGGAGACACACAAAACCAGGAAAAAGGTGTCTGACATTAAAGTATACACACAAGAGTATTTCCTTCACGGTTTTGTCAAGCACACTGAAGCATTTTCCTTAATGCTTTCCTTAACGTCAACAGTTTGTTCGGTGTGAGGTGACCCGCTCCTGGTTGACTTAATTCTGCTCCACTTCAGACATTCCCGTGTAAAATGTGACTTAATGAAGCCTAACATCATTACGGACACGTGATGTTATGGTACAGACGGTCACGCTGGTGAAACGTGGTGTAACCAGTCAGCCCATTAGTAGAATCACATGAAAACCACAAGTTAGCGAAAGGCTCATCTGGAAGAACGGCACACCGCTTCGCTTTGACACGGAATGATTTCTATTGAGAAATATGCGCAGATCGAGGTCTGGGGAACAAGTTGCATAACAAGGACTAGATAGATGTCAAGCAACTAATGTATCTCCATTGGAAAAATGAGGAGTGCAAGACGACAGACATTATCCCGCGTAGTTTGTTGAAACACTTCCGCAGTGGATGTTTCTCAAAACAACGTGCATTCGGGGAGCTAACGCTACCCGTCACCTCAGCCCCAGTTTGACCGTTAAGAACATATCCTCGGTATTCAAAAAAAAAGGCAGCTCCAAAAGTGTAAAACCGACAGTTACACGGCAAACTTGAAGCAAAACCAGCGGTCGCCACAGCAGCAGTGGCTCCTGTTGTCAGAGGGGAAACGTTGAGTCGCTTCACGCTGGCAAACCTGTCAGTTAACGTGCCGTTAGCTTAAAGTATGTGTGTGTGACAGCGGCCGAGCGAAATGATTCAAGAGTGCCACAAGCTCAATGTCACTCTCCAGAATGAAAACCAGAACGGTCACAATACATGACTTTCGTTTAGCAGTATATATATATAAATATTTTACAAATTCAGAGCGCCCGTCTACAGCTAGCTAAAAAAAACAACGAAACATGGCTATGTAGCATGCTAGGTCCCGGCGTAGCATTAACAGTAGTAACGTCAATCACCATTAGCCTGTTAGCAGCACGTTCTGCGAGCAACTGGCTAAGTTAGCGGAGCTATGCTAAACCCCACGCGGTGCTTTGGAGGCAAAGGGTCTCGTGAGGGATCCAGCACGAGGAGCGGGAAGCCTCGTCTACAGCTTAAATATTTGAAAGATGTCTGAACATCGTTAGTGGAGGGGTGGGGGGGATACCATGTGCCACTAGCAGCCACGAGCAACATGTTAATGCAATACTGCAACAGGCAACAGCGTACTCTCCGCTCCACGCCGGGACCGGTGGTATCGTTGCACGCTCTCCAACTTTCCCTTAACCTCCCGCGAGGTGCGCACAGGCCGTAATTAACCGGCAAAGGGGGGGAACGTGGGGGGACTACACCGGCAATCAGGGTTCCAACACCGGGCAACACAGTAACGAAGCAGCAGGGTCGTCGTCGTCGTCCCCTCCGTCCACTAACCTTGATGGCTCCGTTAGCTTCGGGACTATGGACGACCGACGAGTGGTGGAATGAGCTGTCCCCTTCGCCTCGGTGTCCCCGGTCTTAAGAGACAGACAGGGAGAGGTGTCCTCGACGCGTCGGTGCCTCAGGTCGTATGAACGGACGGACTGAGAGAGAGAGAGAGAGAGAGAGAGAGAGAGAGAGAGAGAGAGAGAGAGAGAGAGAGGGGGGGAGCGCGAGAGCTCCTGTTTCGCCCCCCGGTTCGCTCGGCTTCTGTTCCAAAGAAAGTAGCTCTGGTACGCTGGAGTCGCGACGAGGCTCGAGAGGCTTTCACACGGTGCGTTCACAGACTCTCCCGCTGCGGCTGAGAGTAACTTCCACGGCGGGGACAGAGTACATAAACGTGGGTGGAGCGTGGGGGAAGTTCAACCCTCCCCAAAATGAGGTTAAACAGCGGTGGCCCCAGGAAGCCAGGGCCCTGACATGATTGTAGAATTATACTCTAACCATGAAATAGTGCTGGCAATTGGGTAACTGTTTTTGTTTGTATTGAACAAGGAGAGGGAGTTTAATAGCAAGGCTTCCTCAGGATATTAAAATAAATATTTTTAATGCATTTTGGATCTACCACACAATAAGGACAAAAGACACAACTGTGGCTTAAGGACTGGGCAACAGTGATGTGCCTCTCACACACCAAAATTACTTTGCAGAATCTACACTATTCACAATATACACAGCTTTCGGAAAATATCTGTAAAAATGAACAAATGCTAATACCTATTTTGGGCCATTCCAGTCCATTAGATACATGAAAAACATAATTATTTCAGTTGTAGTTAATCCTACATGTTTAAATCGCGCTAAATTCGTAACATTCTCAGCAATGTCCACAAAAAAATGGGTAGTATTAATGGGCCCTATCTTACAGTGGACAAATGTCTTAACATGACTTAACATGTCCACTGATGAAGAAAGTCCCGTTGAACAATCCAGAGCCTCACACCTCAGATTCTTGTCAAGCAGAGAGAGGAACCCTGTGTACTTTAACACATCTACGTTACTACATCTTGCACAGACTCTTTTTTTGACATTTTTTTTTAGAAAACGCGATAAGTTACCTTCAGGCTCATTGTTCATACGTGGCTTTTGCGTTTACGTGTGAAACAAGCCGATTCAAGTCCCCTTCTACTTACACTATTAGTTCTGGCATGTCACTTTTATGATTGCTGGAACAGAGCATTTGTTCCATTTGTGCTTTTCCTGCTACGACCAGTCAAAACGTTTGCTGTGAATGAAGTGCATTGTTCTTTGAATCACAGGTTTAGGGCTCAAAACAATGATACCCGTGATGGGATACTTTAAGGCACATTATCAGGGGTTGAGAACCACTAGGCGCTGACACCCAGAAGTGATGTCAGCGCCATCCTGTGGAAAGCATTATGAAAAACACTTATACAAACACCACTGTTACCATGTTCATGAATAACACTCTTTTCTGATTGGATGGTAGTTATCCATCTATAACCGGTCAAACTATAATCTTCCCTCCAGTGCACAAAGAGCACCAACCATTTGCGCAGCAAATTGTGAGCATGGTTGGATTAATCAATCAAGCAAACTTGATCAGTGGGCCACTGTTAATCTTCTGTTTATATCCCTGGAAAAGTGTGCACCGTGTAAATTTAGGCAACGCTCTACAAGACTCTCTTTTGTGGTTAGTATGAACAAAAAAATGCTCTCTGAGTGCATTGCTGTTTTTATATCAGGACCCGTTGTAGTGAATTGACATCCTCTGTCTTTCAAACTGTAGCTTCCCAGTACCGTTGTCACATGCTGCTCGACCGAACATGCCTTTGTGTTGTCACATGCCATCTTCACATGCACTCACATGCAATCACAAGGCAGAGCGTGCCGTTGTTCATTTCCTCTAATTTAAGTGGGCTGGACGCATCATGACCCTTACCAAAAGATCTTTTGACGGAGGAGAATGTTTGACTGTGACTTTACTTTTTTCTGATTCTGGGATCAGCTTTCAGTCATTTTTCTAAGGAAATGTGTCTTCTTTGAGTATATTTAAAAAACAAAATTGTGCATAACTACTCATAATAGAAATAATATTGAATAATCCTGGAGGAATTATTAGTTTGATTTACTTTAAATGATCATCAACTTTTTTTTAAATGCTACCGGCTACACACTTCACAATAAATGAATGTTGTCTATTATAAAGTGATACTGGGAGTAGTATATACTCAAATTAAAAACGATTAAAGACTAATCAAAGTATTATTTTCCCTGCTATTATAGTTGATGATGACAATACTAAAACTTGAAAGGTATATTGCTCACTGGTTTGCTTGGTGTTTTATTAAATGCCATGTCCTAGTTGTAATTGTATGGGAATCCAACAAAACATGTGATTACCTGAACGTTTCACGACTACTGTTCAGTTAACTTATTATTGGTCTGATATTTCCATACAGCCTTATAACCTAATCATGCACCAAAGGATCATTTCCAGCCAATGAAGTGTGTGTGTGTGTGTTTGTGTACTCGCGCGTCTGCAGCACGCACGCGTCCGCGCGCGACGGCTTAGTTGTGATGTTATTTCTAAAGGGATTTCAGGCTCGAGCATTCGGAATTATGAGGGAACTTTTATAAAGTTATTTCCGTTCCCCAAATGACACACTGATCTTAGCAATGAAGCGGAACCCCTGGAAGGTGTTCTTTGACACGTCAGCTGTAGGTGCCGGACACATATAGACGTCGCACACGGCGCACTTCCTGGATCTTCTCTTAGGAACGTTGTGTTTCTGTGAACGGACATAACCTGTTTTGAGTGTCAACGGTAGTGATTTCCTTGTGTTTGTTGCCTTCTGTTGAGACGCCACAGATTGGCCATTGAATGAATTCAGGCTAAAATCAGATTCTCATCGATTTATTCTGTAATTCCGCCGTTTGTGTTTTTTCCCCCCGGATCTGGCTGTACACGCTTGGCATGCTGCTATCATCATCAGGTATACAATCATTAATGCAACGTTGCTGCTTTGGTTATCATTATATATTATATTAAATACCTTGTGTTCTTTTTCATCTGTCCTATTAACTGTTGATGTGACTTTGCTGATCTCACCGCGTTGTATTTTCAGGGTTAACGGTAAGTTTAGTAAACATCGTGTTATTTGTAGGTGAGGACATGCAACCTTAATGTCCTCATTAATCTTCTCCTTTTGTAGCTTTTGTAGCTTTCTGCCTGAGACTGAAGGTGTAAACAAGCCGAGTGTGTAAGCGCGGACACCTTGCGTTGGCTTTTACTGGTTGGTCAGTTAGAGCCCCCCCCCATCCCCCTCCCCTTTCCCCTCCCTGTGCTGTACTGAACTATACTGTGAGCTCCGTGACGTCTTATGATCCTGGATCTATTTGTTTAGCCGACTGAAGGCTCCTCCTTTCACCCCAATAATGACTTGACACTTTTTTTTTCTTCCTTCTTCTTTTGCACAGGTTTCTTCCTGTGTGCTCTCCTTTATCCTGTAATTTGAACTGTACGCACACTTGTTTGCACTGTACGTATGATATGCGTCTGCTTTTCATCATCAGAGTCGGGCAGAAACTCACCCGACCGTGTCCCTGATGCCGTTTGATCACGCATAATCAAAATGCGCCTGCATGTAGATCAGAGTATTTCCCACTCATCTATCATTATATTAAATTACCTTTCTCTTCTCTTCTGTTGTTCTACTTTTGATTACTGTATCTCTCAACTTGCTCTGCCTGTTGAGCAGAAGTGTTGCATATTTGCGAAATGATTGAACATATTCATGGCAGGCATGTAGTACTTTTCTTCCTGCTTCAACTGTCCCCTTTTATTCTTTTTCCTGCAGATTGGCTGAGGGCGCAGCGGGTTTGATACCCACAGTTCCAAGATGGAGCACCCAGAATTATTGACGCATAAGAACGGGCGGCAGAGGAAGGTTGCGCGCGCCAACTTATCCGGAAACATCAGGATCATGGACGGGGGAGAGATGAGCTCCTCTGACCCAGAGGTAGAAGAGGAAGCGGAGGGTCTTGTCAAAGTGTTTTACTGCGAGGACACGACGCACACCGCCTCGCCCGGGATCCGTGGCGAACTGGGGAACGTTTTGCTTCTTTTGTTCTTATACGTGCTGCAAGGGATTCCTCTGGGACTGGCTGGTAGCATCCCTCTGATCCTACAAAGTAAGAGCGTCAGCTACAAGGACCAAGCCTTCTTTAGCTTTGTCTTCTGGCCGTTTAGCCTCAAGCTCCTCTGGGCACCACTGGTGGACGCTCTCTACTACAGCAGGTTCGGCAGAAGGTGAGAAGGACACGTGCATGCTTTTTATACTGGTGTTTTTGTCATATTTTCCTTCTTCCTGATTTCCTTCTTCTTCTTTTTTTTAAACCCGAACGTGGTTATTCAGAAAGTCGTGGCTGGTGCCCACACAGTACCTGCTGGGCCTCTTCATGCTCTACCTTTCTGGGACAGTCAATTCCTTGATGCAAAGTGAGGGAGGACCGAAGGTGGTAACCCTCACTGCAGTTTTCTTTATGCTTTCCTTCCTAGCAGCCACACAGGTAGGCGGCACTTGTACTGTGATACAAACACAGGAAAGATGTACTCATTCGATTTTAGTTTCCAATTTCTGTATCTTCTTTGCTTCCAAGGACATAGCTGTGGATGGCTGGGCCCTGACTATGTTGTCCAGAGCGAATGTGGGATATGCTTCCACATGCAACTCTGTGGGCCAGACAGCTGGATACTTCCTGGGGAACGTGCTGTTTCTGGCTCTGGAGTCTGCAGACTTCTGCAACAAATACCTCAGAGTAGAGCCCAAGGACACGGGCCTCGTCACCTTGTCAGGTATCATTTACATTTTTTTTAACAGCAGAGCAGTCTTTTTTAAGTCTAATTAAGTTTGATTGCTAATGCCCTCTGTTCTTCGGCTGCAGAGTTCTTGTTTTTTTGGGGAATCGTGTTCCTGGTTTCCACGACTTTGGTAGCCATAATGAAAAGAGAAAATGCAGAGCAGTGCAGAGGAAAGCAGAGAGTCCACGAGGAAACACAGGGCGTCATGGAAACCTACAAGCTGCTGTTCTCCATCATCAAGATGCCCACCGTCTTCACCTTTTGTTCCCTGCTTCTCACCGCTAAAGTACTTCAGCGTTACATGGAACATTTTGGGTTTACGTTTGAAATATGACAAATAAGACGTTTTGCTGCTCAATACGAAAGATCTCAACTTTCTCTTTTGTGTTTCAGATCGGCTTCTCGGCAGCAGACGCAGTGACGGGCCTGAAGCTGGTGGAGGCTGGGGTTCCCAAGGAGCAGCTGGCGCTGCTGGCAGTGCCCATGGTGCCTCTGCAGATCCTACTGCCTGTGATCATCAGCAAATACACAGCAGGGCCCAGACCTCTGGATGTCTTCTACAAGGCCTTCCCTTTTAGGTGGTAACACACAAGCCCACAAACCCTCGCATTCAACACGTTCAGACTAAAAGCTGACTGAGTGCTGCTGTTTGTGGCTGCAGGTTGCTCATCGGACTGGGTTACGCTCTGCTGGTGTGGTGGACGCCCAGTGTGAAACATGAAGGAGGGTTCCCGCTTTACTACTACGCCATAGTGCTGCTCAGCTACGCGCTGCATCAGGTCTGTGTTTCTGTTACTCTCTTTAATATCTTTAATATCTGTAATCTATTAACAGGTTTGTCAAAACATATGATGATGATGATGATGATGATGATGTATAAAGGCAGACGAGTGTTGAGATGTGTTTTTTTTATTTCCTGTCTCTGTGGTCACTGTACAATACAAGAACATACCAAAGTATCAGGGACAGGAATATATTGATCCCCTTCTTCTTTTTACATTTCTGGCATATTGTAGTGAGGGAGGTTATCTTTGCATCTTTTAGATTTTCCCTTTAATAGAATACAAAAACCCATTGTATTGATTGTATAATTATTTTTATCCTCATATCAAAATGATTAAAACAGCCATTAGAGAAAATAAGGTGCACGGACGGGAGTCAAATATCACCGTAAGTTTGTGAATTGGTCAATGTACGTAAATATCCGCTGCGTCTCTTTCGCCAGGTGGCGCTGTACAGCATGTACGTGGCTTGCATGGCCTTCCACGCCAAAGTGAGCGACCCCCTCATCGGCGGGACCTACATGACCCTGCTGAACACCGTCACTAACCTGGGCGAGAACTGGCCCTCCACGTTGGCCCTGTGAATGGTAGACCCTCTGCCCTGGAAGGAGTGTCAGGGGGCCGCCGGGCAGAGCTGTGGTTCTCCAGAGGAGCCGGGGGTGAGTAAAGCAGCGAGGGCAAATCTACCCCGGGGGGGGGGGGGGGGGTTGCCGTTAATCGAGAGTTGATATATTGACTCCTTTTTGTCCCCGCTCCCGTCTCCAGCTGTGCGCCAAGGAGGGCGGCGTCTGTCTGACCACGCTCGACGGCTACTACGTGGAGTCGGTGATGTGCGTCGTCATCGGTTTGGCCTGGTGGGTGTGGTTCGGGAAGAAGATGAGGCGCCTGCAGGAACAGGCGCCCGCTGCCTGGAGGTGCAGAGCGAGTCGGTGATGACACATTCATCGGTGACAGACTGATCCTTGTGTCCTTGTTACACGTTGTACCTGTAACAATCCCCTGTGGACTGAAGGAAACATTTTTTTTTTTTTTTTTTTTTTTTTTTTAAACATATTCTGCTGCTTGGAACAGCTTAACCAAACGAGCTGGCTGAAAGAATATGTTAAAATAACTTTTGGTGTTTTTTCTTTTCACCTGTTTGAGGTTACTATTTGGGGAGTAAGACTTCAGTTGGCCCAAATATGAGCAACAAATCTGGTGAAGTAAAATGTCCCGGGTATTCACCAATTGAGTCTTTGTTAACAAGGTAAAAGACTGAAAACGCGTATAAATGAAGTGTCCTGATGCTGGTTAAACGCAGTGTGACGACTCAGATCTGAACCGATGATTATTTAAATCCTTGTTTAAATATTTTCTTTTTGAGTGATTTGTGCCTTCGTATAGTGTTTCTTTTGGTTTGGTAAATTACACTAAAGATGACAAATGACAGATATAAATGACCACAGATCTTTTATTTATACATACTCCCATGATACTGAGCGCACATTCCTGATGAAAAACTTTATTAACATCGATGTCATCAATGATTAAAATATGTCTAAAATATGAAAACATTTTCTCCTGGAGCAATTCTGATCAGTGTATCCGTTACAGTATCTAATCTAATCTAATGGCCTGATTGGACCGTGGCTTTAAACACTGAATCTCTTGGTTATCAGTGAGGATTGGTTTCTGTTACGGCAAGAGAAGAAAACTAATATTCCAAAAAATATATAAGAATATTTTTTCAGCCTTTTCCAGTTTTATAGATGCAACATTACGCCCACACATTCTTTTGTAAGGTCGATCTGACATAAAGCCTTTCAAGTGGGTCTGAGAAGTATGCCATTAAATACATACAGTGAATGTCTCGCTCCCAAAACCATTTGAAACCAGCAGCATTGAAGAAAACTTGGTTGTCTTTTTCATAATTTACATAGAACTGATTGTTATGGTATTTTCTTTAAAACCAGCATTGAAAAACCTCTGAGGGAAACTGAAGCGTTGTCGTGTTAGCAGAGCTTCATTTTTTTTAAACTCATTTGGCATAATTTGATGCTGGACTTTGAACTACATGAAAAGGTCAAACCACTCGAGGTTACCATGGTAGCAGTTGTGCTTTGGCCAGTGATGCTTCGGAAATGCACAAGTCCCTCATGCTGACATCAGTTAACTTCCATCGCATGCCTTTGTTTGCCCTTCATTGGGCCTTCTGCTGCTGTATTTGTAGCCGCACAACACTTCTTTCTAAAAGCCCTTTTTCCTGTTATCAGGGCTCTATTTTTGATTTTTATTTATTTTAAAACATGTTAGACTGTGTGACTGATTTAAGCAACACTTGCATTTGCCTATGTATTCTAATGAGCTAAACTGGCTTTTAGGCGCTTTTAAGCTGCTGTTAATTTATCTCACATAATCCTGAACTGAACTGGTCCCTTTTTAGGATCACTAGTTTTCTTTCCAATCATAAAGTTAAAGGGATAGCACAGGGTGGTGGTAAAGTAAGACATTTAAATATGCTGGAAGCTCTACACGGTTCTGCTGTTGAATGTGTGTGATATTTGACATTCATAAAATGCAATGTTGATATCTGAAACAAATCTTACATAATTAAAAAAAAACAAATGTCCACTTCTGTGGTCTGCAGATGTTTTTCTTTCATACAAAAGACACAATCAATGCAATTTGAATTGTCTTTTTCATTTTATTTGAATTTTTCTTGCTTTTGGGGATTTCTAAAATGTCCCTCTTAAACAAGTGCGCTGATGAAAGAGGCTATAAATGTTTTCTGAGCCTTGAAGCCCACAACTGCAGATCCAGATCAACTGCTGCTGTGGTCTCCAGTATGACATCACTCAGCGCTGACGCCCGCGGTATCACGCAAAGCAGCACCAAGATCAGTTTGATATTTTTGTGGCGATCGAGTTGATCCAGTGATTCATCCTACTGTGTGACGCACACCTTAAGAGCAGATAACCAAAGTACGGTTCACATCGAGTAAAAGCCTATAATGCCGAGAGAATGTAAAAAGTCAACGCTTTCTTGTTTAACTTTGGCTCTTTGATTCGTCATTGATGTATAGCACAGTTAATGCATTCATTGTGTAACACATCTTACAACATGAAGCTCTATTCATTAACACCAGAACTTCTTCTGGTCCGCTGCTCACAATGCTCCTTTTCAATAATTAACCTAATCTATCATTTCATTCACAGTCAGGAAGCCTTTTTTATTTATTTTTTTTGTCAGAAGAACTTTTAAAATCTCCCATTGGAAGCAGTTAGCCTCACCGGCTTTCATTCAAATAGCACAAAGCACTTTGGACGCCATCTTGTACAGCAGACTGACGGCATGTTGAGAGTGAATAGCTTGCATACTGTTGTCGAACGTTGTCGCCTTTGATTTCCGCGTCGCACAAAAGGCCTGCGGCACCTCAACGGGTTCCCAGCCCTACAAGTCCAGTTCAGAGAGGAGGAGGGGTGGCAGAAGGAAGAGGTCACGAGACCTGAGGTGTCCGAGGGGAACCGGTGCGGCGCCGCTGTGGCTGGTCGCAGACCCGCGCACAGACTCCCGGTCGCGACAGCGCGTGGAGTGTGCGGATGTGCAATTTTGGATTGGATTCGTCTCTGGCATCCATTTCTTTTTGCTTTGTTTCTTTAAAAAAAAAAGTTTCCTAAAGCGGCGCGGCGGGTCATAGGTTCATACGTAGATGCTCGGGCCGCTTGGCCAGGCTCGGGAAGGCCTGCTGCTTCGCCTGAGCCGCGTTGGCCCCGGCGGGCTGGCGGATGGGGAGAGGCGCCGAGGCCTCGCAGCTCGCCGTGACGTCCATCTGCTCGGGGTGGGACAGCTCCATGGCCTGGTCCTGAGGGGACTGGAGGACACTTGGTCCCGCGCCGGGGACATGGGGGCTCCGGGCCCAGCAGTCCCCGCTTGAGAACTTGACCGGGCTGAAGGGACAAAAGGGGGAAGGAAGCGGACAGATGTGACTGAGGAACAACGTCCATCGTGGACACGTGTGAGATTTGTTTTCTTATCATGTTGCATGATGTAAAAAAAAAAAAAGACAAAACCTGTATGTAAAATAAGCTGTTATGTAATCCTCGATGTAAAAGAGGGGGGGAGGGGAGGGGGGGGGGGGGGGGCAGCTGTGACACCCCGGCGTACCTGAGAGGTGTTCTAGGGCTTCCCATGATGCGCCGAGGGGAGCGGATCTTTGGCTCAAACGCAAACCTTTCTTTGATGTTTTCCAGGACCGACGGAGCGACGTATGTGAAACCCTGCAGAGACAGAGACAGACACAGAGACACAGGAAGACCTCTTTTTAGGTTGAGTCGGGAGCAGCAACGTGCATCGGAAGGCATTTGTTGATCCACCTCACTGATTGACCCGTTTATTGCAGATTAGATCCATGTCTGTGTGAAATGTCATCGTTTCATCCATTTGGACACTGAGGGCCAAATGTCTGACATTGTAAATCAGTAGCCTCCTTCAGTTAGTTGGATTTTTAAGCCAAATCTAGGAAAAGTACACAAGCATACACGAGCAGGCTGCGGAGGCAGAACAAAACATGAACATTTAGCCAGAAACGTTACCAGGAAGGCCTGATTGGCACTTTCACTGAGCGTCGAGTCGTCCGGGCTGTCGACCGGCGTCTGACTGGTGAACTTGGAGTCGAACTGACTCACGTCTTCAGCCGATTGCTGCCCAGAGGCAAGGGAAGAGAAGACACAGGTGACGAGGGGCAGTAACGTGAGCACGTGTGTGTGTGTGTGTCGAGTAACAACACCAAGGACTGGAACAAGGAATCTCATCTCAACACGCCACTCACCAGGGAGGGTTTGAAGGGGGGCTCCACTTTCCGAGCCAGTAAATCCTCCCAGTTGATCTGCTTGAAGAAGGGATGCGCCTAAAAAACAAAGACAGGGGCCATGAAACTTGGCGTCCACGCCGGGGGAGGAGAGGGGGGGGGGTTAGAGGGGGGGGGGGAGGACGTCAACCTGCGGGTGTGACCATCTTCTCACCTGCACCTCTGCGGCGTCCCCCGCTGCCGCTCCCAGCCGCGAGGAGGCGTTCCTCTTCAACAACTGTACAAGCCGGCAGTCGAGAGTCAAAAACAACACGGTGGTACGGCAACGCGACACTTATTTTGGGATAAACACGTGCGGTGTAAGCGTTAAGCAGACAGGAGATACCCGTTTCAGGAGATCTCTTGCTTCTTGTGTGAGGTAGGGTGGGAGGCTGAGCTTACACTTCAGGATCTTATCAATGGTCTTCTTGCGGTTTTCACCGGTAAATGGTGGCTGTGGTGGTGGGAGGAGAGAGGGGGGGGGGGTCACTCAAACATTCCCAAATAGTACAGTAGAGTAGTGTTTTAATACTGTGCTGTGAAGGTTTCACTGACCGCCCCTGTGAGCATGTCGTACATCAGAGCGCCCAGACTCCACCAGTCCACCGCTCGGTTGTGTCCGCTCCTCATCAGGATCTCCGGAGCCCTGCAACGGCAGCGGGGGACGTTTGTCTCAAAGGCGAACGAGTCGACACTCGACATGGAGGAGGAGGAGGAGGGTACAAGTGAAGAGGGAGCCTATCTGTGTGCGAGTGAAGGAGCACTTACATGTACTCGATGGTCCCGCAGAAGGTGTGGGTCACTGTGCCGTCGTGAATCGACTCTTTACACAGCCCGAAGTCGGTCAGCTTCACATGCCCTGAGGGGGGGCGGGGGGGGGGACAGCACAGATCCAGATGCAATCGTTAAGGGTTGTGAAACCAGCAACCAGCTCTTTACTTTTATATATGTAACATTGTCTTTTTGCATATTTTGTTTGAAAGAAATGTATTATCATTGGAGAAATCATGTGGGAAGGTTTGCGTTAATGTTGACACATGTATACAAAGAAACACACACACACACACACACCATGGTTGTTGAGCATGATGTTCTCAGGCTTCAGGTCTCTGTAGATTATGCCCTTCTGGTGCAGGTGGCCCAGAGCCATGGAGATCTCTGCCAGGTAGAAACTAACGAGAAAAGAATGAAAATAAGTTCAACAAACTAAATAGCTCATTTCCCAGCAGATGAGAGCGAGGTCACTGCTCACTACAAACACAAACCGGTCTCACCACGCTGTGTCCTCCATGAAGATGCCCTCCCGCTCTAGCTGCATGAAGAGCTCTCCTCCTGCGCGGGTAAACACATGTTAAAGCCGTTAGCAATCCGGCAGATTGTGTGCGTTTGTGTATTTCTCGTACTGACCGCTCAGGTACTCCAGGATGAGATACAGCTTCCCTCCTGTCTGGAAGGCGTAGATGAGGTCGACTATGAAGGGATGCTTCACCTCCTCCAGGATGTTCCTCTCGGCCTTCGTGTGGGCCGTGTCCTTGGCGTTGCGTACAATCATGGCCTGTGCGCCCCCCCCCCCCACCCCGAAGGAGTACACAAACATCAGTCACCTCTAGAGGCAGACACAATGGGGACACAATGCTTTCATCTTGCTTGTTTTGCTCTACGGTAACTTATCAACGTAGCAAAAGTGAAAATTCCATGACGCCGAACCGGAGAGGGCGGGACGAATGTGTCACGGAGATGAAAGAGTGACATCTCTTAATTATTCCCGGAGTATAAATCAGCACATACAGTTCAACAAGCCTCTTGTGTCAAGCTCACTCACTCAACCCTAAAGCTCCACAATAAAAACGCTGCTTTAAAATCCCGTGGAGAGTTACTACGCTGTTTTATATGTGCAGGGTCTCGTGTTGCTGCGGCTCCCCACACGGCCGCCTGTCAGCAGCAATGTTGTCTCGGCTTCGGGTGTCAGGAACACACAACAGAAGCTGAACAGAGACCGGGGCGGGAATGTTGCAGTACGAGCTTTGTAACTGAAAGCACAGAATGTCTTGTGGCTGATTAGGAATCATGCAATGCTCACTGAAGTCTAAGTCCTTTCCTTCTCGGCAAGGAAACAGAACAGCAAAGAATCAAAGTTCACATTTAAGGAGAAATTACATAATTGGTATAAGACTTATTAATAGAGCATTCCTGAATAAACTGACTTCCATTTGTTTTTTCCCTTTGTGGTTAGATGCAATAAACACATACAAAAGGGACCTTATTTAAAAATGAGTAAAACAAATTACATTTTTTTGAAAATGTACACTGATTACAGCATTATAGCACTTCTATCACAAACTTCTTTTGTTCACTAAAAAACTAAATAGATTTGTAGGTTGCCATTCGTCACGTTTCTATCGACCTGCTCAGAACTCCTGCTGACCTGATAAACCTGACAAATGGCAAAATGCAAAACTGAGAATTCAAAGTCAGGACTGAAGTCTTTCCCCGAGACACTTCACATCTGGGCTGGTCTCTACTCGAAATATACAAGCTCTCGGGAAAGCTATGCCGCCTGCCAGTTTGAAGCTGAGCGGCTGTAACGGCGCGGCAGGTCTCCGATGTGTCACAGGGGGTCGTTTTGGCGAACTAAGCGGAAGCTGTGTGAACATCAAGCGGAATGTAATGGGCTGAGGCAGAGTGTTTCTAGGTGGCACGGCTGCAGCAGCAGCAGCGGCAGCAGCAGCGCACCGATGATGGCACTCTACCAGATGGCAGTGAAATCTTACCCCACCGCCAGCTTCAAGGACAGCCAATATTTGCAGACAGAAGCAATGTAGTGTTTATTCGTGAAAAAAACAAAAACAAGCATGCAATTATGTTCACAGGATACAAACTGAAGTAAGCAGAAAAATGTACCTTTTTTAAAACTTTCATGGCAAATATTTTGCCCGATGCAGCTCCGACAACTTTTCGGACTTGAAACACCTGCACAACAAGGGGAGAGGATCGGCATGTTGAAGGAAACGCTTGGCGGATTGTTATGGCTGAGTTATCCAAAAGCCTGCATTCCAGAGGGAAAATAGTCCAAAGTGTGCATTTGTAGGAGTGAGTGTATACGTTGTGTGTACTTTCTCAAGGCGTGATGCCTCTGGGGTACAACAAGTACCTTTCCGTAACCACCTTTCCCCAGGACCCGCAGCAGCTCAAAGCACTCAGGTCGGATGTTCTCCGTCCCCTGATTGACGTTGTCCTCCGAAATCTCAATCTTCTCACAGTCGTCCATGTTGCTGCAGAGACACATTTAGTGTATTTGTGTTTTCACCCATTCGATTGCAAAAGAACAGAAACATACACACACACACACACCAACACAAAGACTGAGAGAAAGAGTGAAAACTTACAACTCAAATCCGCTGCACTGGTCCATGATATCAGTGATTTGAACCTGCAAGGAAAAGTTTTCATCAGGATCAAGCTTTTCGGATCTAATGCGCAAGTAGATGGAACAAATCCACATTTGTGTCAGTTTTTCATTTTTTAGTCATTTACTCTTTAGGAGAATTTACACTCTTAAGGGAGTTTCCGTCCGTGCGATGGTACGCTGTAATACTACGATACAACACAAATAATAATTGTCTCGTTCCAGTTTCTCCGGTTTGAGGATTTTCTGCTTTTCCCCGTTTTCATGACATTTTGATCTGACGGCAAACAGATAACAAATTCTTTGTTTTGGTCAAACAAAAAAGGAATTTGATGACATCACATTGGATCCTGTTGACTGTAAACAGCATTTCATATTTATGGTAAATTTATAGACTAAAAGGTCATTGAGTCATGAACTTAACTATATCTGCAAGTTGATAAAGGTGTCATTAAAAGAGGAGCGGTGACGTGACAGTGCGAGGGATACGTTTCCTAATTCTTTGTTACATAGAATGTAAATGAACATGATGCAAATCTATTGATCTTTATGAATATTTCAGACCTGATGTGCATGCATAATTGCGACCAGTAACAATATGCATCGACTGTTATAACACTTTAATAGCATGCAATATACTGGATGGGCAATGGCACTAAGCAGTATTTACACAAAAGAGAATGATAATTCGTGATAAACAGCTTTATGTAATTGTTGTACTAAGTTTTGTTCACTCAGTTTTTGTGTCGTGCTGCTGCACTTTGGTCTGTGCGAGAATGGAAACACACACAGGCACCAGTTTTATGTCCATACAGTCACATTCTGTAACTGTCTTGTCTTGTCATAATAAACTGTTGCTCGGAGAGTCACATTTATCACCGCAGCACCTTTGGCCAAGTCTGGCTCTGCTTGCACAACTCTTGACATGACAGCGAAGGGTTTTATTGGTACGAGACGGGGTCAATACCACACGCAGCCCCCCGCGTAGCTATCGCCGCCGTTGAATAAAACAGAACAAGTGACAGCTCTGTGATGATTGCGGCCAGGCTAGCTAGCATTAGCCTCCGCTATCCCTGCCGGGGGAAAAGGCCGGAGAGCTCCGGCTTCGGGGGCCTGTGGCGGCTAGCGGGCTAGCTGGCTAGCTGCTCTAGCTACTTCGCGTGGAGAGTTTCTGCCGTGACAACTCTCGCAGTCGCGCGCAACATCTTCCGTTAAAAGTACCTCCTCGTTCTCATCGTCGGAGACATTTTCCTCCGGCTGGTCCAAATCAATGTCAAACACACCAGCCATGGCAGCGCTTCGCTCGGATGGCTCCGTCACAGACCGCAAGAATAGCAGGCGTCCCCCCACCTCATGTACAAACACACACCGCCGCCATAACCGGCTACTACACTGAGCATGCGCACTGCAACATTCGACGAAAGGGGCGGTGCCCTGAGCGACTCGCTTTTATTTTTGGTCATAAACCGACAACAGTACATTTACTTCACATTAAAATGAAGAATTAAATAACCTAAATACATCGTTCTATTGTCACAGCGCGCCCTTCGGATACCCCTTTAGATAATCGACAGATTTGAAAAGAACCTATAAAGTTAACTGAAATCCAATCAATGCAGGCAATAAATACTAAAGCCAATAAAAAGGACCTATCCATGATGCCGTCAAAAATATTTGAATTAGACATTTACTATATTTGTTGGTGTTCAAACAATTTGTAACAACGGTACACATGATCACGAGCTTTATTTTGAAAGTTTTGATAACTTAGCCGGAAATCCCCGTGGAGCTTCTCGTGGTAGCTGACGACAGAACGAGCGCCGCTTCTCAAACACAAAAGATGCAGACATCTCCGGGACTCGATCATGGAACTTTCACTCCCGGACTCTATGTTCTGATACCCCCATCGTTTCTATCGATCCTCCCGTAAAACCCCCCCCCCCCCACTCCACAACCACCCCCCGGGTGTAAAGATGTCCATCGTAACGGTTCAGCTCGGTCAGTGCGGTAACCAGGTGGGTCCCGAGGTGTTCGACGTCATCAGCAGCGACGCCCTGGAGGGACAGAAGAAAGCGTTCTGCGCAGCGGCCCGCGAGCGGTTCTTCCACCAAACACCCCGCGGAGGTAAACAGCTGATCCGCGGCCTCTTCCACTTCCGGGTGGCACGAGCGTCTGCGTTAATAACGAGCGACGTGTGTCCCTGTCTGAATACCAGAGCTGGTGGCCAGGGCGGTCCTGGTAGACATGGAGCCCAAAGTGATCAACCACAGCGTGAGCAGGGCCGCAAAGTCCGGCGCGTGGAGGTACGGAGAGGCTTCCCACTTCAGCCAGAAGCAGGGCTCTGGAAACAACTGGGCCAACGGGTATGACCTTTGACCTCCTCAAATGAAACCTGTCAAAACTAATAATCTGCTTCACCGCGTGATACGGTGTCACGTGTCAAAGCAAACCCAACTCAAAGGCTTTTTACTATTATTATGCCCGTGGTTTTGAAGATGGCTCTGATGACTTCACTCAATACCTGTTGTGAGTTCATCCAAGAAACTCAATTTTACTTTAAATATTACCCATTATGGGTTAATTTGCAAATAATTTTCTCTTTTGTCTTGTAGCTGTTAGAAAAATGATCATAAATGCACATAAGTGTTCTGTCAGAGCCTTAGGTTGTGTCTTTTTAGTATGTATTTATTCTACAAAGAAAAGCATCAAACCATCACTATAGGTGACTATTGGAAACTTAAGAAAAATAAGACACCTCAACCCCCCTCGTTCCATCCATCATAATGAACTGTGGACTCCGTGTCCTAATACGGAGTAAACAATACGGGGCTCCTGTTGCTCAATAACTGAAATAAATAATTGATTGACTGTCCACCCCCTTGTTTATCAATTCATTGTTTCAGTTCTGAGAATGAAGCATCAAAGTTCATTTTTTTTAAACGTAAAAAAAAAAGGGACCGTTTCATCCTTCAAAACAAACAAAATGTAACTGAGTGTGAACATTTTTCCTGCAGCCACAACACAAACTCAGTCCTCCTGAGTACAGAAATATATTGTGGGGTAAAAAATGTGTCCCACCAGGTACTGCGTCCACGGGCCGCGTCACAGGGACGTGGTGGAGGAGCTGGTGAGGCGAGAGGTGGAGCGCTGCGACCGGTTGGCCGGCCTCATGGCCATGATGAGCGTGGCGGGGGGGACGGGGTCCGGCGTCGGTACTTACGTCACCCAGTGTCTGCGAGACACCTACCCAAAGTCCTTCATCCTCAACCACCTCACGTGGCCCTACGGGACCGGCGAGGTACCTTTTTATTATGACTACAACGTCCTTTTAAAATGTGATTTAAATAAAACAAACCAAAAAAACGCCTCCAGGTGATTGTCCAGAACTACAACTCGGTGCTGACGCTGGCGCACCTCTACCAGCTGTCGGACGCCATCCTGGTGCACGAGAACGACACGGTGCACAGGATCTGCGGCCGGCTGCTCAACATCAAACACATCTCCTTCGGCGACGTCAACCGCGTGATCGCTCACCAGCTGGCCAGCGTCCTGCAGCCCGCGCTCACCGCCGACTCCCGAGGAGCCTACGGCAGAAACCCCCTGGGTGAGACACGGCGAGACGCGAGAAAATGTCCCCCGCCACCGGGTTAAGCCCCCACGACCAACGGGTCCGCTTCCTTGCTCTCTCCTCAGGGGAGCTGGCGAGCGCCCTCTCGTGCCACCCGGAGTACAAGCTGCTCAGTGTGTGCACCGTCCCCCAGGTGCCCAGTTCCTCCATGGCCTACAGCACGTTCAGCTGGCCGAGCCTGCTCAAACACCTGCGACAGATGCTCGTCTCCAACACCAAGATGGAGGAAGGCAAGTTCCGTCCCCTCTGACCTGCCAATTCAGTTTCAGCTGCTCGTTCATCGAGCGGTCGCACGGCCTTGGTGAAACACCTGCGGAGGGTTGTCCCCTGTCCCGTCTCAGGTATCGACTGGCAGGTCCGTCCGCCTGGTGGTTCGGCGCGGACCGGGAGTCCCGCGGGATCCGGCTTTAACCGGTCCCTGGCCAACCTGCTCGTATTGAGAGGGAAAGACGTGTACAGCGCAGAGACAGGTCTGGTTGAGATTTGTTTTATTTTACCCGATGACTCCAAAAAGGCAAATAAGGGAGATCCTCCTGGAGAGACCGGGCGCTCTGCATGACGCCAGAGATGTAACCGATGTACCCTCCACAGGGGGCTTTGAGGACCCGGCCCTGTACACCTCCTGGCTCTCACCAGAAGAAGCGTTCAGTTTGTGGAAATCCCCTGTGCCTTTTAATAAGTATGAGAAATGTGCAACGCTGGTCAGTAACAGCCAGGCTCTGCTCAGACCTCTGGATGACATGGTGGGGAAAGCTTGGAATATGTTTGCATCCAGGTGAGTCAACCCGGTTAGACAGGAACTATTTCATTTTTTTTTAAATTAAATGTCTTTTGAATCACTTTTTCTGTTCCTCCGTTAAAGGGCCTACCTCCACCAGTACATGAAGTTTGGGATCTCAGAGGAGGACTTTCTAGACTGCTTCACATCCATTGAGCAAGTCGTCTCCAGCTACAGTCAACTGCACTGAAGGGAGAAAACTAACCAGCACCAGCTGGTGCTTTGGACTGCAGAGAATACCACTGTGTGGCACATTGCTGCTTTTTAGTATTTCAATTAAAATGTATTTTAATTCCATAGAAGAATCATTGGTGCTCAAATTCTGTTGGCACCTTTATAAGTTTAGATAACCGTCAAATAATGCTTTCAGATTGACTCAGCTCAATGACGACAACAAAGGGCCGATCTGTTGGGAAAGATTGTCATGATCAAACGTATCCAGCAATGGAACCAAAAAAAAAGCAACAAAAGCATTAAGCTACTTTTCACTTTATTGTTCATATTCTTTTCATCACAATATTTCCAGATGTGGGATGGAACCGACCGAATGCAGAAGGCCCATAACTTCGGCCAGCTTACAGACCGCTGTTGCCGTGGTGATTGAACAGCCAACACCAGTCTGATAAGCTAGCTGACGGGACGGGAGAGCTGGTGAGGAGACGGGAGGGAAGACGAGACGTCTCATCCACCGGCTGGAGTGCAGCGGAATCTGCCAAGTTCGTCTCTGGTGGGATTCAACAAGAACTATTAACGGTTCACTTACCTTAAAGACGACCGGTTCACACAGACAATTAGCTCGGTCACAGGGATGAACACTAAAAGATTCAAACTTGGAAACCAGTGCAATGCTTTACATGTTTTATATATGATCTGATCCAAGGTTTAACCTAAATGTACAGAATAGAAATGGATCTAGTTAGCCGAGAGTACAATGTCACTTTACAAATGATAACCTTTTTTTTGTTTTGGTTCAAGTTAACTCATGTCCACACAGACCATTAGAATACAAATACATCTGTGCATACTGTCAAGGAGATCAAGATATTTACACAATGTGCAACCCATCAAAACCACACTGTTTGGAGTTGATATTGCTTCTTTTTCACCTTTTCAAAAAACAATTCCAGAGACCAAAAAAAAAAAAAAGACTGATCTGGTGTCGATGTTAAACATGACAAAAATATGAGGACAAATTAAACCCCGTCCACAGCAGTTATGTTGGCAGCACACTGTACAAACAAGTCATGATCGATCCATTCATACGGAAATGTCACAAAATTAAATAAAATTAAGTTAATAAGAGTCAAGAACTTTATCGAAGAGCGAGACCTCCCCGTCTTGCATAAGGCATCGCATCTGATGGGCACTGCACCTACACGGCAGTCACCACCCGACTGCTGCTTTACATCTGAGGTCAATAAATGGGTTAATTTAAACAAAAGCTAACATGTTAACAAAAGCAATAAAACCAAATCGCACTAGACACACACTCAAACCGTGAGATGAGAGGAAGAACTACAAAACCTGAAGAGGGACAAACTTTAAACCGCACATTCATCCTCATGAGCAAGCGCGCACGCACACACACACCAACCAACAATTAGTGCCTGGTTCTCGACTGGTCGGCCTCTGAGAATGGATGGGGGAGGAGGGCCGGAGGGGGGGTGTGAGTCTGTTAAGTTGTAAGTGGCTGAGACGCACACAGTCACTTGGACGTTTGCCTCGGCTCGTCCCTCCATCACTTGGTCTTCTCCTCCGAGTGCCTCTGCTGCTGCAGCCGCTTGGCGTAGCTCTGGGCCATGGAGTTGACGATGGAAGTGACAAAGTAGCAGACCATGACCAGCACCACCTTCTCGAACACCCACGACAGCCAGTTCTCGTCCTGGAAACCCAAAAGTCAGGATCAGTTACTGCTATGAAGTTTTTTTTTTAAAAGCAGGCTGTGGTATTACAGCTCAGGGTGAAAACAAATAGTGTGAATACTGTTTGGTTTTATTCGTTATGACAGACTTCAGTATATAACCCATGGAGTGTGTTTCTCCAGCAGTCAAAGTAAAAACTAGAGCCAGAAAATAAAGCTGGAGATAACAAAGAAACTGCAGAACAGAAATGCCGGTTTGAGATACTTAAAAAAAAGCTCAGTTAGTCCACCAGAGAGCACTGATGATTAGTCACTTCTGTTAAAACACAATTTAAGGATCTTTACAATAAAATATGTTGTACAATTGAGGGAAATAACAACGGCCTCAAAGCATCTGTTGGGCTTTATTAAAACAAGCATCCAACTCTGATGTTGATATTTTCCAAAAACCTCAAAGCTTTGTCTATCCTAGCCAACAAATACAACTAAATCTTTAGTCCCCATTCAAAGGTTTGGCTCTTACCGCTGGTGCACTTCCTCCGGCGTGGTGCAGCTTGTTCCTCTGTGCTTCCAGGTACTGGCTGAAGGGCTTCTGGAGTGATGGTCCCACTTTGGGCACAGACCTGATAGCGAATACATCCACACAGACGAGAGAGACAAGAGACCGGGGGGGACGGGACATCAGTTAACTTACCCTTTGCACGCCCCTTCCTTCAACATGCAGCTTTAGACACGCTTGTTCCCTCTAAGAGCACTTCATTAAAAAGTCTTCTCTTTCCCTGAACACCACCCGAGGTCCTCAGCCGGAGGGCCCCCCATCCTACATGTGGGGCCCATCCTGGAGCTTCCACCACCTCTGCCTCCCACTGTGAGCAGGAGCAGAGAGGAATGAAGCAGCAACCCTTCTGCCCTCCCTTTATACTCCTCAGCCCTCTATAGGAGCCTGTGTCAGCCCCTTAAATCAGGAAGTGACTCGACATGATGTCATCACCTTTACCACCATTGCTGCCGTCCTGTGGAAAGATATCTAATCAGGGCGTGCTCATGTCCTTGTTTGGTCATGTGGATTAGCTCACCAGGGGGCCGGCCATAATGGATACCAACCTCATGTCACATAGAAGCAAATGAGTTATTGTTGGACATTTTGGTGTGCGGTGGTGCAGTTGAACGGTTTCTCTTTTCGAGGGATTACCAAGAAAATAAAAATACTGTCTTCCCATTGAATGGATTCAGTTGTGTCCCCACTTTAAGACATAAACATGTTTTTAGACAATTGACTCAACAACTAATGGCAAAGGGAAGTCAGGAATTGCTCATTTAAAATAGCTAACCGGCTTTAGTTTGACTCATTCGTCTGTCTTGCTATCTCTTTCAAATGACACGGGAGCACAAAAACAAAACATCCTGTACCGGCACGGCAAGCTGAAGCACACAGCGAGTCACCAACGGCCATCCCAGTTTCATGGGAAAGAAGCTGGGATTTCGCCTTTTCAACAGTAATAAAACATGGGACACTACAATGATCGTAAATAAAATAAATCGTAAAGCAGCCATTTGATTGGTTATATAGAAAATGAGCAGTTAATGTAAGTCTATTGTGAACATTAAGTCTGATTAAACTCTTCACATAATTAGTATCTTTTATTTATATTTTCCTTACTTTGATGGTCATTTTCAGCACCTAAAATTGATGCTAAACCCAGAATTTGGGCCAACGATCAGAAAGCGATTTCTCTCTGGGCGCTGATTGCGATTCCAGACTCACCGCGGCCAACGTCTCAGTCGACGCTGAGCGGGGTGAGTCAGATCAACATGTTGGGATGGGACCTCACATGCCTGAGCACCAATGCCGCTCAGGAGGGTTGTGTGTGTGGGGCATGCGTGTACACCCCCGCAGTAAAAGCATTCATTCGTACAGGAACTACAATCAGCGGTTAAAATGCATCTGAAAATGTTTACAAATGCATTGCCACCCGTAAACCAGTGACGCCACAGACGAGCCGGTGGTCCTTACACACACACACACACACACACACACACACACACACACACACACACTTACCCAATGAGCGACACCATCTGCTCCACTATGTGTTTGCTGAAGGTGATGATGACAAATAGTTTCTGTAAGAAAACAAAAAGGAGAGATTAGTAAGCGTTACAAAAGCATTACAGACGTAGAATATATAGGAGGTATACAACTCAGAGAAAGTTTCCCTGACATAAAATCATGAGTTTATGCAAAGCGGTGATTTAGAGAGAAAAAAACAAATATATCGACAGATAAAACATATTTCAATTATTTTTATTTTAGCGGCACAGCTGTGGGAAATTGTGGCCACATCTGCCACATGTGCCACTGTCCACAGACACACGAATTACAAAACCCAAACTGAGCAGTAAACCATGTTCTGCGCTGCGAGGGGGTTTCTGTGGTGATGGGGGGGGGAGCTTCAGACAGCGTGACACATGCCCCCCTGGACAAAATCAGACAGGATGTGAGACGTGATGCCCAGGAGTTTAAAAAAAAAGAAAGAAAAAGAACACAACCCCCACCCCCCCCTCACAGCGCGTTTAATATCCTTCTCTCATGTCCACTCTGCATCCTCCATGAGCCTTTGTCTGAAGGCCTCAGAGTGAGCTCACCGAGCGGTACCATCACGCGATGGATCGGGTTAGTGTGTTAACACGACTCAGCCGGGCCCTCGTTCTGTCGGCTTCCATTAGTCACCGCCGGGGCAGACTCAACAATCGACCCATAATTAACAGTAGGTCTTTTTGATCCTGTGGACTTCTTAAAATCCAGAATTTCTCGTGGCTCTGAATCCCCGGCGGACCGGAGCGAAGAGGGAAAGAGTTAACCAGAAGAGCGCCGCGGGGGGTTTCTCACAGCCACGAGCGATGATCTCAGCTCCACGTTTGATCTGCTTCTCCCACACGTTTTGAGGTTGTGGGGATTGTGAATCGCTCAGCAGTGCATATCCCTTTCCATCTCTCTAATGAGTGGATTCTTTGACATGCATTATTACACTATGTGGACGGACAATTGCAATGAGCTGAGACAAAAGAGGAGTCACATTTGAAGCCATGTGTGCCTGTATGGGTTTTTTTATGTTAAAATAGAAGTATGAAACTTTTAGTCAGGCCAACTTACCTGTATATGCATCTTGACGATGGCTTTCCCAATAAGCGTTGCTCCAAAGAAGGTCCAGAAAGGAACCATGAAATGCCCGCAGGTTATTCCAGCCAGGTCAAAGAGGGGGTTGGGGATCTGAAACACATGCAACACATGTTACTCATGATCCACAGCCTTAGACGTGACCCGTGTCACATGTTAACTCCCTAATGTTGAAATGAGGAAAGACATCTGATTATTCATGCATAAAGCTTGCAGGGAAATTATTAGAAGTTACCGAGGCGCAAGCCAAGATCCCAAAG